CAATATTCATACAGAATTTTTTTCCAAGCAATAAAACCCAAAGGCTAGTTTGATAGAGATTTCTAATTTAGATGGTAAGTTTTCTTTTAATTATTTTTTAAGGATCATCATAACAATGTTAATGACGACGCAACTTCGCAAGAAGATTTTGGAATTGAATCCTACACAAGCAGAAGTTCACAAAGCTTATTAAAATTTAGGAGAAGAGCGTAAGAACGTAAGTTAATCAAAGAACATTGCTTTCTTTTTAATAAAAACCAAATTCAGTTTAATTTACTTTTAACAATTCATTCTAGTAAGGCCACCGTAGAAGAATTTGTTGACGGATCGATCGAGGTCGAGTTGAATGCGGTATTAATTTTGGGACGGGTTTATTGGATGAGAAGTCTGGACGGATAATTTAGGAGGACAATAGATGTTGATAATAAAATGTTTATAAAATTACAAAAATTTTGAATTTCTAGAATTTAGACATCTTAAGCTTTTTTTTTTTATTTTTTAATCGCGTTATTTGTTTTAATAAATTAAATTTTTGTTTTGAAAACGCTGACATTAATAAAATCCATACAGTTAATATAATTTGAACGTAGCATATTAATCAATTAATTTTGCTATAATTTTTTTACAAAATCAACTTTACGTTCCCAACAATGATGTTTATAACTTTGGCAAGTAATTAAATCAATTGGATGGAATTGATTTGGGTTAAATGTTTTCTTTATCTTCTTACCTTCTCCTTCCACTGTAATTCCTTTTATTGGTCAGTCTATTAGTATCATGCTGATTTTTATGCACTGATATTTTTTTGCCAACGGCTAAGTTTCCGTGATCTTGCCTAAAATATGCAAAAATTCATTTTACCTAAATTGATAGAACAATTATTATGTTAGACATATATTTCTGATTTTCTTAAAATTCTTTTTAGCAGTAGTTTTAGATTATTTGCATTATAAAAATAATTAGATGGTGTAATAGATAATGTGAATCACATGATTATAAACCAATAAATTTATTTCATGTGATCGTATTAAAAGCTAAAAAATTTGGCCACAAAATAAAAAAGTGGTGGCTTTAGACCGTTCACACCATATATTAAATACAATTGTTTAAATTTTAAATACAAATTCTGCAATATCAAATGAGCAATTTAAGTACTAATCATGAGACAATTTAAAAGTGAAACCACTAAAAGAATGAGACACCCGAATAACGTGAGGCGCATCTTATATAAGAGAAAAAATCAAAAAGGCAAAGAAGGGTAAAAGATATGGCTGAAGGCCACAAGACATACCTTAGAAACATTCAGGAAAGAAGGAAACAAAGACTACTAAGGAATGTGAGGTTTATCAAAATCATTTTAAACGAATATGATGTGCAGGTTAAAAGAGAATAAACAGAGATAAAATAAACTGACTTGAAGATACAAAGCAAACCCTTAGTGATAGCAAATTAAATGATGATTCATTAATCTCAGCTACTAGCATCAGTAAAAGAGGAACAGAGTCATATAGGAGATTACAATTTCATCTCTAACGTTGGTTAGCCGTTCCCCTAAATTATTTGAGGGCTATGGGAAGATTATTTTGCTTTCTACCCCTCCAATTTCTATGCCTTTTCTCATTTCCGTGCATGGATATTTCACGGTAAGAATGAAATCTTATTACTATTGTGCATTATTTTGAATTTTTAAAATAATATACATATTTGTTTAATTTGTTTAACAGGTTAGTAATAATCGTCGTTCTTTATGGTCGGCTGCAGACAACGAAGGCCTGGTAATTGAACTATATATATATTTATGCTGTAATTATTGTATGCTAAAAAATAAAAATTTTTTATTAATCAATCGAATATCGAATGTCAAATTATAGGCGGCGGATGCGTTAGCTAGAATAAAAGTTTCATGGAATAGATATTTATTTGAAATTGTCTTACCAAAGGCTTGGGCGAAATTCCTTCGTGAGCTCCCGCTTAAAATTCCTAACATTAGATCTGATGATATATATAAATTTTGGCCAATAGTCAGAGGAGATACATCAGGTAGCATAGGTAAATTTTGCAAGGATCCGTTGCAGAATGTTGTAGAAAATCCTAATGTTGAGGATCGTGTATTCAAAGGACCTCCTTCATTATATGATATTTGAACAGTATCTGAGTTCCAGCAAATTTATATGATACACATTTATTCAAAGAATCAGAATTTCATTGGTTATCAATTTTTAATGGATATTTGGAAGATGAGAAGGTGTATAACGGTACTATTGGATTTCCAGTTATATCAACATCTCTTGATATAATTAAAGCCTTGAAAGATTCTAGACATAAAGATTTCCTTA